GATCTTCTAGCAGTCCAGGGGACTCTTAAGAGTCTTCTCCAGCACCACAGTTCAAAGGCATAATTATGGTTACTCAAATATAACAACTGGTATGTGGATTTAAGTAAATATGATTTGCATTGCAATTAATATAACTCTGGGGGCATCCAGAGAATATTCTTGACATATGTATTTTGATATATCTGAGTGCAAATATCAAAGAATGTATGCAAGCATAGTTGCCTAGTGAAGAAACCAACAGTATGGGGGAAAAGCTGAGATATGTCAAACATGATTACTGGTTAGAAACAATGTAAATGGATTGGGTTATGGGTAGAATCTGTTGTTACCCTATATGTGATATTTCCATTAATTCAGCAGGATTTCTCTTTATATCTCCCCAGATGAATTCAGAACTTTCCAGAACAGCTTTCTACCTCCCTGGTATTAAAGAAAAAATGGGTAGAAGAAAGGGAAAAATTATATCCCTTCCATTCTGCTAGCTGAAAGTGCTTCTGCTAATGGAAAGATACAGTTGGATTCTGTTCTAAGTGCTTAAGAAGAAGGTTCTATGGTGATAAAGAGTGGGGGAGACAGGGCTGAATAGCAGTTGGTGACACCGAAACTAGGAAAACTAATCATTACATTAAACTAGGAAACTAGGGAAGATTGTCATAGATATGTCCTTTTTGCTCTGAAAGGATGGCCTCATTACACAGGCCAATGAAATATAAGGCAGAAGGACATATGGGGGCCACATAGGGAAAACAGTCCCATCATTTTGCACTCCAGAAGGATTAAATTTATCCATTGTGTTTTATTATATGAATTACTAAAAATTCTAGATGCTTGAAGAATATTAAGTGACAGACTTCTAAAACTGGCTATTTTTTCATAATATTAATTCTATTATTAAAATGTTGACATTTGCCAGTGAATGCCAATTCTATCTCTAACCATCTAAACATATGCTATTCTGCTTCAGGAGCTGTCATCTCATCACCAGTGCTTATGATTCAGACTTAACTGTAAATAGTAAAGGTTCAAGACAAAGCACAGCTCTTACTCAGTAAGGATGGAAGG